ATTCGGCATTTCCGCAGAAAATTTTTTGTTTTGGTTTGGTTTGGTTATAAAAATTGAGCTCCAGATACCGATATTAGTTTTCGTCTATCTCCTATAGAAAAGGGCGTTTCCCTTTAAAAGCGTCCAATTTGACCCACCCTGTACAGACATTAAATTTGTTCGTATTTAAAAAAAATAAACGTAAACTTTTTTAACTACCAATAATTGCTGAATTCAGAAAATATTCAGTTATAGAGGACAAAATATCAGATTCAGATATCTAGTAATCTAATAATATGCTATAAGATTATTTCGCAAGAATCAGTAATATAGAGAAAATACTTAAATGTTGAAAAATAAAATTTAAAAAAATCAGATTAGTCAATTAAAAAATTACACAGTAGGTGAAATTTTGGTGATATAACTTAACATTTAGGTAGTTCTTTTTTTTTCAGATTTTATGTTTGAACTTATTTTTATTTCTCAATTGGTATTTTATAATTTATAGATTGGGAAAATCATTATTATACAATATATAAGTAAAAAATAAACTGTCCTTAGAGTTTTTTTGTACGTATTTGTATTTTCTTTTATTTTTTTTATATTTTGACATACTTACTATTTTTATATGCCATAAGTATTTAATGTTTATGAATATTTTATGAAAAAATGTGAGAAATTCTCTGTGATCTTTACACGTGCAACCGAAAACATCAAAACAATATTTCTTAGGAATGAGACAAACACATTTAATCTTTCTATTTTCTCTAAATAGACACTGACATATTTTTTCAAATAGTTTAGGCATTAAATCATTTATTTACTATTGCCAAAATATCCCCGTTTAAATAATACAGCTATTATTGTTCTTAACACGATTAGCAGATAATTTAAAACAAATTCCTTCTTTTGAAATCTATATAACAAATTACATTTTTTTCATACTAATTATAGAAAATATTTCATTTTAAACAGAGTGTATTTGCTAATTGATTTTTGTTAGAGAATAACAAACATTTTTAACATATCTGCGAAATTATTTTTATCCTAAAATTAATCTCTCTAAGTTTTAATCCTTCTTCAAAACGTCGTAGAAAAGTAAAGTGCATTTTCTCTAACCCTAAAAATTCCTCCGTTATCATTTTGTGGTAATTCCTGATATTTCATATTATATGTTTAATTGGACTATTTATCTAACCTTGACTGGATACGAAACACGTAATATTATTTGTATTAGAGTTTTTGTCAAACTATCTTAATTCCTAGTTACGAAATGTTCAAATATTACGGGAGTTGGTGAAGCTACGATTTATAGGGTTCTGAAAGAGAAAAAGTAGAACTGTTTGTGAGCCAAAAAAAATCTACGGGGAGGAAGCCATTGGTTGTTGATGAATGTTGTAGACAGGGTGCAATGATTTAAAACAACTTGATATAAATCAAGATTTAAATCAAAATAATCAACTTGTTAATAAAGTTATGATATTTCCTATAAAGCGCTATAAAAAGTATTCCTATATTAAATATACCCTGTATCTATTCATTAGATAAGTACAAAGTTACACTTGCTGTTGTAACGTTTAAATACTTTAATAGATCGAAAAATAATTGGAATAAATAAAAAAATAGTATATGTAACATATAACACATATCCTTAATACCTATTCATCTATTAAAATGTTGGACCGATTTTTGAAGTTATTTTTTGTGAATCCATTATACTTCTAAATGGCAGAGATTTATTTTGAAATTGTGAAGTGCCAGAAATCCGGTATTTGAATACACTTCATTCGCAAACTCTAGTGCAAAACTAGTTTCTTCTTCTTCTAGCAAAGCCACAAAGGCTCTCATGATATTTATGCAGAAGACTGGCGGGAAATAGGTGGGGCTGCGCCTCTAACATTTTGCGCTGGATGTATACTATGATAGTAAGTCTGATGTCGATTACTTATGGAGTAGTTGCTTGGTATACAAAACTAGAGCAACGTACAGCAAGGCAAAACCTGTGCAAAGTACAGAGACTGGCATGTATTTGCATCACAGGTGCCATGAGAACATGTCCAACAGCAGCAATGGAGGTCATTCTAGACCTAACACCACTGCACATTGTCGTCGGTAGTTATACAAATGCGACAATGATTAGAATGGCTATTGACGGAAACAGTACTGGGAGAATTTTCAGGTCAGGGGCTTGGAACATCCTCAAAAAGAAAATTCCACTTCTCCAACTCCCAGTGGATGACATACCAAGAATTTACAACTTTGAGAAACACCTCACTGTAGTATTGAGTAATAAAAAGGATTGGAAGCAAGAAACGCTTACTCAGCATATAAAAGACCATACCATCACGTGGTATACTGATGCTTCCAAAATCAAAGTAGAGACAGGGATAGGAGTATTTGGGCCGAAAACTAAATACTCCGAACCAATGGGCACCTACCCCAGTATCCTTCAGGCAGAAATTTGCGCTATCGAAAGATGCGTACAATTTATCTTAGATAGGAACTATCGAAAACAGGAAATTGCCATCCTATCCTATAGTCAAGCAGCACTTAACGCGATCAACTCAGTAACCATCAATTCGAAATTGGTCAAAGAATGCCTAGAGAAGCTCAACAAATTAGGCAAAGAAAATAAAGTCCTCCTACTCTGGGTGCCTGCTCACCAAGGGATAGACGGCAATGAAAAAGCAAATGATCTAGCTAGAAAAGGAACGAACACTCCACTAACTGGACCAGAACCGTTCTGTTTTCCAAACGGGAACCAACTGAAAGCGGAACTGAAGAATCTGGAAGACTCCATCCGTAACTTGGAATGGGTGTCCTCCAACGGTCTAAGACACTCGAAAAAGTTCCTCAGAACGTATGACCGAGAAAAATCAAAGGTTTTCCTTGATTTAAGTAAAAACAATCTTCGGATTGTAACGGGGTTTCTAACAGGACACTGTCTCCTCAACGAACACCTCAGTAGGCTGAAACTGAGAAACAACGGCGAATGCAGATTTTGTTGGGAAAATGGGGAAACACCAGAACACCTTATCACTGAGTGCGCCGAGACGACGACCAGTGTCGAGGATGGAGAGCTGGCCTCTGTGGAGACGTCTCAGATACTGGCTTTTGTTAAAGCCCTGAGACTGTATGATGAGTTATAACTGGTTATAACTCAAGAAAGGGGAACACACAATAGATCTATAAGGTCGCGGTGATTGACTCCCCTCCTAAACATTCTACATTCTACATTCTAGTTTCTTCTGATGTCAGGTTATATTTTTATTCCAGAGGACTAATCAATGTCAAACCATTGTTAGAATGAGCTAGACTCTGCACATAGCTGTATCGGGTATGCAAAAGATTGTCCGAGAATAAATGGCCGAATAAAAGGAAAATTTTGATCGAAAGCAAACCAACGAAACGAAAATTGCCCTAATGGAAAATTTCCCGAAATCATAATTTATCTAAGAACATTTTAGCGAACCAAAAACTTGCCCGAAAAATACAATAATTTTCATCTCATTATCATTGTCAGGCCATTGGCATTGTCATCCCTACCAATTTTTGGAAAATTTTATTTATTTTGCCTATCATCATCCAGCATAAACCCGTAGAATGGAAGTCGAATTTGTTATCATTGAACAGGGAAAACAGAAACTGTTACTCTACAGTTATTTGTATAAAAAAAAACGAATGAAGAAACGTGTTTTGTTTTGGTTTAGTTTGGTTTTTATTATATGGACCGTGAGTTTAAATGCCCTGTATTAATGCCCTCAATTAACTAAAAAATTACTAAAAATATATTAGTTAAAAAAATGCATTTTTGTATAAAAAACAATATTATTAAAATAAGTTAGATAAGAGTATTTTAATTGATTATTGTCTTTGCTTCTGGCATGAAAATTGTCTTTGTTTTCAGTTGATCTAATCCAACGCGAATAAAAGTATTTAAAATTATTTGTTTCTGATTTTTTGGCGATTTTCAGATTTTTTCTTGTATGTAGGTATGTATGTATTGTATTTTCTTGTAAGTATTCCATAATGTGAATATTGTATCATTTTTTTTCTTATTAAGAACACTTTACCGTCATTTTTAAATTTATTTTACATGGGCGTATGTATACTATTCGTTCGGAAATAAATTTATTATTATTACAACAAAAAGGCCTATTTAGAATTTACGCTCAATTTATCTTCAGAACGTTTCCTCAATGTCTCCGTTTAAGTGTTAATACAAAAACCCTATTAAAAAATTAAAGACTTTAATTGGCCAAATAAAGTAAGTGATTTTCTTTAAATTGCTCTCCTGAAAAGTAGCAAAAATCGAGATACGCCTTTTCGTCATAGAGGACGATGTATGTTTTATTTGTAATTTTAATGACGTAAATTTTTTTGAATTGATTTGTATTGTATGATATTTTTTATTATTTGTATATTTTTTTTGTGCTTTTGTTTGTTTTGTATATGCTTTGTCGATGAAGTTCTTTTGGCGTTTTGTACAATAAAGCGTTGTTTTATTATTATTTAAGTTACTAATGTGTTTCTAATAAGTAACATCACACTTATTTTAAAGATTCTTTTTCCATTGTTAGTTGTAAAAATAATGTTTTTTATTATTCTCCAGTTATTTCTGTACGTCTTTTGCTATACACCTACTACATTGTTGCGATTTTAGTACCTCCTATCGCAATCAGAATGCTAAGTACAACATACCAACTCTTCTAAATAAACTGGTTTTCTTCTAGATAGATAAGGCAGATGGAAAATAATACTGGTCATTATGGCATTCCTTGTTTTATAGCTTGATGATTATTACGTATTTTAAGTACAAGAAATCCGTGAGGTACGTAAAAAAAACTTTGTACCTATATGGTGTGTCCAAAAATAACGAAAATTTATGGAAAAAGATATGTTGAGAAGGTATATCTATTTTACTTTAACGATATGCCATATTCAAATACCTAAACCTGGATTTTTAAGCGGAGCTGCTTTAAAAATTAATAATTCTGGTGGGAAAGTCGAAGAAAACTCACCATTTAGTGCTGCTTGTTGCTGTTGGTTCTCCTGTACCATGGTAGCTGCTCGGGATAGGACGTCCAAAGGAGACTCATCCGTGGTGTCCATATTGGAACCACCGTATTTCTCAACTGTCGAATGAGACGTGATCATGTCGGTCTTAAAGGAAATGTCCTGAAAAAAAACAGAAATTCAAAATTTCATTTTTTGATATAAGATTAAATAAGTTTTAAATAATAAATATTTATTATTTTAAATGGACTCTCTCTCTCGCTCATCTTCTGTCTGTCTCTCTTTCTCTCTAAAAAACGGAGAGTTTTATTATGGCTGTTAGTTCAGGAATTCCTGACTAATTGTTCGGTGTTTCTAGGACGGCTGAAGTCATGAGTTTTCGGTAGTACCAGTAGCGATGGAAAAAATCGTATTCGAAGATTTTTTCGTTTACCGTTGTCTTCCGTTCATTCTTCTATCTGCGAAGGTTATGAAAAATGTGTAATTTTGTGAGAAAATCCGTTTTTTATCCATTGTAAATATATTTATTTTGTGAGTGTATTCGTTAAATTACAGATTGTCTTATTACAGCTATAAAAAAAACATCGTAATTCCTATTCCTATAACATAGGATATAACATTTTTCCATAAAATCAATAAAATGAAAAATATACGAAATAATATACATGTACTGATTTCTTCTGAAAATCGACAACTATGAAACCATGAACCCTTCCCGGACAAAAACGGTACGTTGTGAGACAGGAAATTGTGGAGAGAAACAAGCCCCATAACATAGGGTACAACATTTTAATGAACAGTGCTTTACATAAAATCAGTAAAATGATAAATATACGAAATAATATACATGTACTGATTTCTTTCAAAAGTCGACAACTATGAAACTATGAACCCTTCCCGGACACAAACGGTGCATTGTGAGACAGGAAATTGTGGAGAGAAACAAGCCCCATAACATAGGGTACAACATTTTAATGAACAGTGCTTTACATAAAATCAATAAAATGAAAAATATACCAAATAATATACATGTACTGATTTCTTTCGAAAATCGCTAAATACTCTTTTGATGAAAAATAATAACAACACGCAAAAACGATGACGAAGGACGGTATATACAATCAGTCGGCAGTCCGATCAGTCGTACATCATAGTACGCACGGGTTTTGTTGCTTGGAATTTTTCACTTGGAATTTTGAATAATTTGCTTTTTAAACGCATATCGTATAACAAATTAGTGATCATTATTAACATGCATTTGTCATTTTTTATGGACAAATTTTAGGATATATGGATTTTTTAAAGGAGTTTCTGAAAAAAATGGAAATTAGAACATTTATTCGCTATATTTGAAGGTAAGAGATATTTACCTAATGCACCTGTTTAGATAATGCATGCGTGACTATAGATAGAATAAGAATATATAGGTATCGATTTTTTTATGCAAATAACTACAAAAATTTTTGAATTTCAAGTCGTCGTATTAAAAAATTCAAAATGTGACCAAAGCTTATAATTTTAATAATTTATTTGCTTTACTTTGAAATCGTGATGTAACATTTCTTTGTAATTTGTAGAGTGATGAACCACCCCAAAAAATATCAAGGAGCGAAGAAGCAGAAATAACTACTATCGAGGAAAATAATATCACTTTACTTACTACAGACCAGGAAAACCTAAATTTATCAAAAAATAATATACCTCGTAATATGCCTGTATATGATGTATATACTTCTCTTAGATCAAAATAAATTTTAGTTGAGTCAATAGTATTCGCTATTGGTTTAAGAAAAGTGTCTCTTTAATCAAGAAATGTCCCTTTTCAATCAAGAATTTTTGCATGAATCAAAGAGAATATTGTTCTTGTAGCAAGAACTTCTTTGCATATTCATTTTGGGTCAAGAGTGAAATACTTTGGACAGATAGATTCTTCTATTCTCTAAAGTAATTTTTTAAAGCTTATGAAAAGATAGTTAATGCTTTGGGCAAAGAAACGTCGTTCTTGGCCCTATTGAAAAGCGCCAATCTTTTGGGTCAAAGTCATATTCATTTCGACTGAGAGATCCTTTTTTTCAGTGCAGTTCCTCTTCCACACAGCACGATTTAGATCACTAGTACTTTGTTAGAACCGGAATAAAATGATTTATTTAATGGCACGTTCCCACGCCACTGGAGGCATCCGTAATGGAATGCGAGGTTATCACTCCGGCGGTCCCCCTTTGGGAGTACTGCCTCATTTTTTGTTACGCGATCCGAACAGTACCAGCTATCTCGGTACCGCCTCGATATCATTTCCTTTTAATTCGAAATAAAACATCCAAACATGTTATTCAGAGACGACAAACATAACTAAATTTGTTATTTTATTTATTTTAGCCATAATACAACAATTTTATTGATTGCCCTACTAAAAATAAAGGTTAAAATATTATCTCTTTTAATTTAATCATTAAAAATTAAACAGGGTGGTCCGAACTGTATTCCGGAAACGTCGGAATATTCTGCAGATAAAAATAAGTAAAAGTTCGTATAAATGTATGTCCTAAAATGCTTACTTTCGGAGATACAGGGTGTAGAGGTTTCATTTTTATTTCGATTTTTTCCAAATAATTTCTTAAGTAACGTCAAAGGTAACGTCAATATTTGGATGAAAATTGGTGTTTGGGAGTTTTGTGATACGAGAATACGGGTCGGAGATACAGGGTGTAGAAGTTTCATTTTTATTTCGATTATTTCCAAATAATCTCTGAAGTAACCTCAATATTTGGATGAAAATTGGTGTTTGGGAGTTTTGTGATACGAGAAATTTGATTTTTATGTCAATATGGCAATATGGCTCCTATTTGTAGGGGGCGCCACCTACATGTGTTTTAACTGTTTTGAAGAGTAATAACTTTTCGTCCGTACCTGTATAAAACTAGTAATTGAAAAAATATACATTTCGATGATTTTTTACGTAAAAAATGTCTCTTGATAGAAATTGCTACGAGCAACCGTTCTCAAGATATTTAGAATGGAAATAGTCAATACATGTCATTATTAGTGATGTTAATATTTCGGAAACTTTTGATTGTTGCAGGAAATTTCCGAAACTTTCGGAAATTTGTGAAATTTTAGGAAATTTTACAATTTTACATATTTTTTGTTGATACAATGAATAAATTAGATAGACATTTGATACCAACATGTAAGTGGAAAAAAAAACAATAAACATAATATTAATTGTTATATTATTAATAAACAATACATAACTCCTAAAAGTCTAAAACATAACATATAACAAAAATTATTTGGTAACATTTGTACTTTGTATATAAACCATGAACTATGACTATGAACTTAAAAAAAAAACAAAAAGCACGAAATATAAATTTAAAAAACGTAAAACACAAATAAGTGAATTATTCTATTCCGGAATACTTTCCGACGCCGAGCTGGTCCCATCTTCATAGGGTATTATAGTAGTAGTAGTAGTAGTAGTAGTAGTACTAGTAGTACTGTCTTAGTCCAAAGATTGTGTTGGATGGGACGGAAATCAAATGGTCCAAAAGCCTCAGGTATCTGGGAGTGCAAATTGATAAAAAGCTGAATTTCAAAGAACACATACATGCAGTAGTGGTAAAGGCTCAGACAACAGTGGCTAAATTAGCAAGAGTAATGCCAAACATCGGAGGTCCAAGGCAGGAGAAAAGGATACTTTTAAATGAAGTGGTCCACGCCAGTATTTTGTACGCCGCTCCAATATGGGCAAAGGCACTGGAGGTTAAAAAGAAAAACAGAAACTTCTATCAGTTCAGCGACGGAGCGCCTTGAGAGTTGTTTCTGCCTACAGAACTGTAGCGGAGCAAGCGGTATTCGTAATCGCAGGTATACCACCAATAGACCTGGTAGTAAAGGAAAGGGCTTATATATATGATCAGAAAACTACAGGAAGAACAGATAAGGCTGAGATCAAAAATGAAGCGAAGGAGATATTATATCAACTGTGGCAAAGAAGATGGGACGAGGCGTACGATGGAAAATGGACACATATGTTAATCCCGAATATAAGAAGATGGAGTGAACGAAAACACGGACAGGTAGACTATTATCTTTCCCAGATACTTAGCGGTCACGGAGCTTTCGAACATTATTTATATCGTTTCAAGAAAAGAGCTAGTGCGGCCTGTAAATATTGCAGCAGTGCCATCGACGATGTCAGTCACACCATTTTTGAATGCTCGGCCTGGGAACCAGGTAGATCAAGGATCAAAGGGATTTTTAAGGTACCCTTTAAAAAAGAAAACTTAGAGATATATGGGAGGCTTTCGTGGCGTTTATATCAAAAATTCTACGACAGAAGGATCAACGGATGGTTGAAGAATGACCAAAGTCCAGGCGTCTAAGAAGATTTTTTTTACCATCCTCAGAAAAAAAAAAAAAGTACTGTCTTCGTCAGTTTTTATTTCCAAATCAGGTATATTTGATGTATCATCTGGTTCTGATTCTGAAGGATGGATCTCTACCTCTACAGGTTCTAGTGGTTCTGGAGGAGTTTCATGTTGTTGCAGATCATGTTCCATATCCACTTTTTGTTTTTGTAGTAATAATTTATTGTTATGAGCTACGAATATTATTTTGCCGGCTCTTTGTGCAGTTAAGTGATTCCTTTTTTAGTATGCATAAAACTGTAAGTACTGAAACTTCTCTCAGTGGCTGCAGATGACGTTGGTAAAGAGAGCAGAGCAACAGTTAAATATTTCAACTGAGTATTTTTATATATTGCTTGCACTAACTTAGACAGTCTACATTTTTAACTGACATCCAAACGTAGTCGAGAGCCCATAAGAGCCCGATTTGACGCAATAATTTGTTACATCTGTAAAAATGGCTTCTTTATTATTGACAAACTGAGGATGTTTGTTGGTGATATTGTTGATAAATTCCATAGCGGCTATGTGTTCTTCATTGTTAAGGTGCTCTCCCAGGAAGCAGAGGGGGCCAAGAGATTCGCGGCAAAATGCGTTATTTTAAGAGCAATACGTTTTCTATTTTGTAAGGCGGAGAAGCATTCTTTTTCTTCTGATTTAAGAATAGGCATACTTGATATACCTTCGTTAAATTTTTGCTCAATGTCTTGAATTTTGAAAAGAAATTTCTTGCAAAATTCGGATTTTTGCGAATAT